TCAGGGAAATCTATATCTATATATAAATATGAAGAACATTGAAACGGCAACTACATGGGTAAATATAATGACTGTCTTTATTAAATATCTTTCAAAGGTAATCACATTATAAAGCAAGAATAAGAATAATGTATTGTGGAATGTATGTGATGTGTAGAAGTAAATGACAATTGCACAGGGGCTAGGAGGGAAGAAGTGAAATTCTTTCGCTGTATGCATGGTTTTTATACTGCACATGAAGTAGTATCATATGACTTAAAGGTAGATGGTGATAAGTTACAGATGTATACTATAAATGCTAAAGCAACCACTAAAATAACATGACAAGGAGTTATAGATAACAACAACAAAAAAAGAGTGAGAGAGACAAGAGAGTCATTTTAAAATAGTAAGTCTGAAAGAAGGGAGAAAAATAGGAAAGGGGGACAAAGAACAGATGGCACAAATAGAAAATAAATAGCAAGATGAAACCCTCCTCCCCAAAACAATAATCACATTGAATGTACAGGCCAGTATCCGTCATGAATAACAATGTAAAAAATTAACAAAATTTTAGAAAACCAAGTGCAACAGTATATAAAAGGAATAATACATGAACGAATGGAGTTTACCCGGGTTCCAAAGCTGGTTTAACACTAAGAAATTGTCACAGGTCACATTAATAGATTAAAAAGAAAAGAAACATATGATCATGCCAGTAGAGTCAGAGAAAGCATTTGACATAATTCAGGATCCATTCCTGATGAGAATTCTGAGCAAAGTAGGATTAACAAAATAACAAAAGTCTATAGCTGACATCATACTTAACTGTGAAAGACTGATTTTCCACTGAGATCAAGAATATAAGAATGCCCCTTTTTGACACTTTTATTCAACATTGTACTGGAGGGTATAGCTTGTGTGATAAGGTAAGAGAAAGAAAGGAAAGACTTGCAGATTGAAAAAGAAGAAGTAAAGCTGTCTTTGTTCACAGACAATATAATTGCCTACACAGAAAATCCTATGGAATCTACCAAAACTAATAGAACTAACAGATGAGTTTAGCAAGGTTGCAGGATACAAGATCAACATGCCAAAAAAAAAAAATCATATTTTGATATGCTAACAATCAACAATATCGAATTAAAATTATAAATGCCATTTAGAATAGCAAGAAACATAAAACACTTAAGATAAAACATGAAAAAGATGTGCAAACTCGTCCATTGAAGCCTACAAAGCACTGCCGAGGGAAACTAAAGAAAACTTAAAGAATGGGGCAACATACCAGGTTCATGGATCAAAAGACTCAGTATTGTCAGTATATCAATTCTCCTCAAATCAATCTATAGATTCTTATCACTATCCCAATCAAAATTATAGCAGGCTTTTGGGGTAGAAATTGAGAAGATGATTCCAAAATTCTTATAGAAATGCAAGAACCTAGAATAGCCAAAACAACTGTAAAAAAGATGAACAAGTTTGATGAATTTATACCGTCTGACTTTAAGGCTTACTGTAAAGCTACAGTAATTAAGACAATATGGTATCGGCATCAAAACAGACAAAGAGAAACCAAATAGGAATAGAATAGGAAGTCCAGAAATAGATCCACGTATATATATGGCCAATTGACTTGTGCAAAGGGTGCTAAGGCAATTCAAAGGAGACACAATTACCTCAAATTATGAATATAAAACATTGGTATATTCACAGGCAGAGGGAGGAAGAGGAGAAGCAAAATAATAATAATCTGTGCCACACAGCGCATGGGACATTAACTGAAAGTGGGAAATAATAAACATAAATTGAAAACCTAAAGCTATAAAACTAATTTAAGGAAACGTAGGAGAAAATCTTTGTGACCTTGAGTTAAGTAAGTTTCTTAGCTACAAAACCAAAATCACAATCCCTGAATTTCATCAGAATTAAGAACTTAAGACATGCTTAAGAAAAAGACAAGGATGACTCAGAAAAGTTTTGCAAATCACACATCTGACCAAGGACTTGTATCCAGAATGTATCAAGCACTCTCAAAGCTCGACAACAAGAAAGACGACCCAACTTAAGAATGGGCTCAAGATGTGAGCAGACATTTCTTTCAGGAAGATATGTAAGTGGTGAAGAAGCACATGGAAAGATGTTCAGCATCATTAGTTATTAGGGAAACGCAAATCAAAACCACAAAGAGATACTGCTCTACGTCTTATTGGAATGACTAGAATTCAGAAGATTGATGTTATGAAGTGTTGGCAAAGGAGGAAACGGAACTCCTACCTACTGCTGGCGGGGGGGGGGGGGGTTAAAATTGTGCAATTACTTTGGAAAACAGTTTGGCAATCTCCTAAAAAGTTAGACCTACCATATGATTCACATATTCCACTTACCAAAGCATTACCCAAGTACTATCAACCCGAAGAGAATGAAAGCATAAATCCGTACAAAGACCTGCATGTGACTGTTTGAACGGTCATAGCAGCTTTGTTTGTCATAGCCAAATGCTGGAAAGAACCTAAATGCCCATCAGCACGTGAGCGGATAAGCCAAGCATGGAACCTTCACACAGTAGAAGACTGCTCAGCGCTAAAAAGAGACCAGTTACCGATACGTGCAAAAACATGGAAGAATCTCAAAATAGTTATGTCGAGTGAGAGCTGTCAGATAAAAAAGGCTATGCACTATATGATCCCGTTTATATAAAATCCTAGAAAATGCAGACTAATCTAGTGACAGAACAGATCAGTCGTTGCCTGGGGACAAGGAGGGAGGCCAGGAATTACAGAGGGACATGAAGAATGTTTTGGGTGTGATGGATGGGATATGTCCACTGTCTTAACTGTGCTGATGGTCTCAAGGTACGTACGCACATCAAGACTTATCCAGGTCTAGAAAAAAAATAAGGAAAAATAATTAAAATTAAACATTAATTTAGGTTAAAGTTTATATGGTATAACAAATTTAGAAACAAGACAACTTTTAAAGATCCATTAAATGAGGAAATGGCATTTCAAATATCAAATATCTACAGAGAAGCTTCTAGAATTCTTAAAGACTTATCAAACTGTTCGCTTTCAACATCTATTTATTACATGTCAGTGGTACCTCTATAAAGACGTTAAAAAACAAATGACAACAGAAACCCAGCCCAAACCTGCACTTTTTTTTTTATTTTTCTATTTTTATTTTTTTTTTAATGTTTTATTTATATCTAGGAGAGAGAGAGAGAGAGAGAGACAGCGTGAGCAGGGGAGAGTCAGAGAGAGAGGGAGCCACAGACTGAAACAGGCTCCAGGCTCAGAGCTGGCAGTCAGCACAGAGCCCAACACGGGGCTCGAACCCACAAACCGCAAGATCATGACCGAAGCGAAAGTCGGACGCTTAACCGACTAAGCCACCCAGGCGCCCCTGCACTTTTTTTTTTTAATTTAGCTTAATTTATTTTATTTTCAGTAGTCTCCACACCCAGTGTAGGGCTTGAACTCACGACCCTGAGACTATGAGTTGCATGTTGTACTGAAGGAGCCAGCCAGGTGCCCCTGCACTTAAGGTTTTATAAAGTTTTATAAAGAGAAATAGTAAGGCAAGTGGCAGAGGTGGGCAGGGGCTCTGCAGTGGATGGGGAGTGTTAGCTGCTTAGAAACAGGGGCAGAAGTGAGCAGCGAACTCTGGGCTTGGCCTGCATGATCTCTGGTCCTGGGTCCACCTCCCTGTCATGCACGGAGCTAGTTAAGAGAATAGACTTGCTGCCCGGGTGCCTGGGTTAAAGTCTCAGATCTGCTGCTTGTTCAATGAGTGGCCGTGGGTAGTTCATTTAACCCTGCAGTGCCTCAGTTTCTTTATCTGTGCAACGGGGGCAGTGATGGTATGTCTCCCAGCCCTGCGTGTAGCTCCTGGCACATAATAGGTACTCAGTGAACATTAGTTGTTATTTTTTTTTTTTTAATATTTTTATTTATTTTTAGGAGAGCTAGGGAGAGAGAGACAGCGTGAGCAGGGGAGGGTCAGAGAGAGAGGGAGACACAGACTCCGAAACAGGCTCCAGGCTCTGAGCTGGCAGTCAGCACAGAGCCCGACGCGGGGCTCGAACCCACAAACCGCGAGATCATGACCTAAGCGAAAGTCGGACGCTTAACCGACTAAGCCACCCAGGCGCCCCACATTAGTTGTTATTTAGTACCAAGTGAGTCGATGACCGGGTCGGGGGTGGACCTTGAGCACCCAATGCCCAGACCTCCTGGGTGAGCCAAGTCCAGCCCCAGGGAGGGAAGCATGGCTGTAAGTGTTGCTTCCAGGAGCACATGGGTGGCTCAGTCGGTTAAGCGTCTGACTTCGGCTCAGGTCATGATCTCATAGTTTGTGGGTTCGAGCCCCGCGTCGGGCTCTGTGCTGACATCTCAGAGCCTGGAGCCTGCTTTGGATTCTGTGTCTCCCTCTCTCTCTGCCCCTCCCCCGCTTGCACTCTGTCTCTCTCTTTCTCTCTCAAAAATGAATGAACATTACAAAAAAAAAAAAAAAAAAAAAANCTCTCTCTTTCTCTCTCAAAAATGAATGAACATTACAAAAAAAAAAAAAAAAAAGCAGCTCTCAGGCCTTGGTCCCAGGAGCTCGGCCCCCCTGCCCACACTGACATTATTGCTTCTGGGGAGCAGAGCGCATGGCCCCACCTGCTGAGCCCTGGGCCCCACAGGCCCCGCCTCACCCTGGCAAGGTCAGAGGCTGGGCTGGGCTTTGCTGCATGTGTGAGAGTTCCTGCCCTTGAAGGAGCCACAGGGCGGGCACCGTGCTAAGCTCAGCACACACATTCTCGTCCTTAGTCCTCACGGCAATCCGCAGAAATGCAGGGCTTTGGCTTCATTTTCCCAGTGAGGACGCTAGACCCAGAGAGGCTAGGTGGTCTGTGTGAGGTCACACAGCTCTCTCCTCCCACCAGCCCTGAGCGCCCTTTCCCTGGGGCCCTGGGTGCCCTTGTGTAGGGGTGGGGGAGACGCTGAGCAGGATGGCTGTCTGCCTCTCCCCTGCAGGGCTCTGGCCCTCGCTGCTCTCCTGGGCCTGGTTTCGTGGCTGGTTCTGGACACTTCCCAGCAGCCGGAGCAACTAGTGTCCTTTGCAGGGATCTGCGTGTTCATCTGCCTCCTCTTCGCCTGCTCAAAGCACCACCGCGCAGTAAGTGCTCAGTCGTCAGGCCCGGAGCGTGCCACGGCCCCTTCTCTCCCTGCGTCCTGCAGCCAGGACCCCCCCTGCTTCAGGGTGTGGCTAACATCTCCCCCTCCCCCCACCCAGGCATCCCGGGGTTCCTCATGCACCTGAGTTTCAAGGTCACTGCTGAGGAGTCCTTAAATGCTAGAGGCGGCAGCAGCCCTCTGCTGGGGGTGTGGGCGTCGAGGGAGAGGGGGCTCAGGGCAGCCGGCAGCCCAGCCCGGGGAGGAGAGGTGGGGGAAGGTCCAGGCAGACAGAGGCTGCGCTGAGGCCGGAATCGGAGGCCACAGCTCCAGCTCTGTCCGCCCAGTGATGGGATGCTCAAGGCTGCTTGAGTCTTGTCTGGGTCCTTAGACCCCGCCCCAGGCCCATTACTGCCAAGAGCGTGGACTAGTCTGACTGCAGGGTGGATGTGACCTTCGGCAACAGGCCCTGGGCTGTGGCTGGATCCAGTCCCATCCTACAGACAAGGCCAGGACTCCCCTAACCCCTCCACGGCACCGAGCTCTCTGCCTTTCCTCCACACCGTTCCCTGCGGAGCCCAGAGGGAGCTGAGCTCACCGGGACCTTTCTCTCTGGTGCCAGGTGTCCTGGAGGGCTGTGTCCTGGGGCCTCGGACTACAGTTTGCGCTTGGACTCTTCGTCATCAGAACAGAGCCAGGATTTGTCGCATTCAGGTGGATGGGCCACAAGGTCCAGGTGCATATATGGGGCCCGCTGCCCAGGGCTGCCGGGGAATGGAGGAGAGGCCACTGTGCTGGGGGAAGGGGACAGTCGGCAGTAAGGAGGGGACCGGGATCAGGATGATGGGTGTGCCCTGGGCCCCAGACCACATGAACAGCAGGGGCTGGGCGGTGCGGCCCCTCCTCCCCTCGGCAGGACCACCCGCAGACAGCTGTCTTCCAGAGGCTGGGCTGATGGGGAAGAAAAGAGTCTCAGCAAAGGAAGGTTCTTGGGTACTGAGGGCACGAGGCGTGTGGCCCTCAGCCGTGATGAGTGATATGGAACTTACAACAGTTAAAAGCGCTAAAAAAAACCCCAAAAACTACAACTGATTTATTTTGCCATATGTGCGTGTTTAAAAATAATGTTTAGTTGTTTGAAGTTGTGTTTTTCAATTCCGTTCTTTGTTGTAGTAAATACACAAAGCTAATCATTTTCACCTATTTTTTTAATGTTTATTTATTTTTGAAAGAGAGAGCATGAGCAGGGACGAGCAGAGAGAGAGGGAGACAGAGGTTCTGAAGCAGCTCCCGGCTCTGAGCTGTCAGCACAGAGCCCGACATGGGGCTCAAACTCACAGACTAGGACATCATGACCTGAGCTGAAGTTGGAAGCTTAACTGACTTTGCCATCCAGGCACCCTAATGTTTCTTTCTGAGAGAGAGACAGACAGAGCGTGAGCAGGGGAGGGACAGAGAAGGGGAGACACAGAATCCAAAGGAGCTCCAGGATCTGAGCTGTCAGTACAGAGCCCGATGTGCGGTTTGAACCCACGAACCGCGAGATCATGACCTGACCAAAGTCAGACACTTAACGGACTGAGCCACCCAGGTGCCCCTTAGAGTGTATGGAAAGGGTGTCTCTTGGGGAGAATGTGCTCAGGGGAACGAGCCCCCGTGAACGTGCTTGCACCCAGCGCACTGCCGGGTGGTGCCCAGCAAGGCCCCGGAGGCCCGGTGTCCCTCCCCGCACTGCACCGAGCTGCTGGATGGCCCGTGGCTGGGGACACCCCTCTGGCTCACACCTGGCCTGGCTTTCTGGCTGCTGTTCGTGCCCCCTCCCCTCCTGGCCTCACTCCAGGTTTTTGCTTTGTTTCCTTTTTTTGCTTCCAGACCTTCCTGAGCTACACGGATGTGGGCTCCAGCTTCGTGTTTGGGGAGGCGATGGTCAAGGGCGTCTTTGCCTTTCAGGTCAGCTCAACTCCTGGGCCGCGAGGGTTTCGCAGCGGCCGCTGGGCGGGGGGCCACGTCTGGGCAGGCTGTGTGGGCCAGGTCCGGGCGGAGGGGAGGGCTGTGCGCAGGCTCACAAAACTCCGGGCCCGGGGTGCCTAGAGGGGCCCCCGCGGGTGCTCACCTGCCTGCATGCCGTCAGCGCGTTCTGTAAAATTTGCAAAGTGGGAGATTCCTGTATTCTTTTCCTTATCCCCAAGTGATAGAATTGCTGTGAGACGGAAGAGAGGGGCGGGGCGTGGGGGTGGCACCCGGTCTCACCTCAGCCCCTGACATGCTGCAGGGACCCCGAGGCCTGTGAGGGACACTTACCAGGAACCCTTAAGCCCAAACGACCCTCTCAGGCTGCTTCTACATCAAGGCGCTCAAGGGCCACCGCTGCAGGAAGCCTTGGCATCCAGCTGCGCGCGGTGACTCCCTTCCCTGGACTTTTCTGGACCTACGGCACCCCCCCCTTCCCTCCCTCCTGCAAGTGGTTTATTGCGAGCCGGCTGCAACCGCAAAGTATCGTGGAGGAAACTGACAGAGAGGCTCAAAGGCCTTACTGTGTGCGGTAGAGCCGCGGCCCTGATGTTAGACGGCGCGGCCGGGGCAGGGTTTGCTGTGGGGTGGCCACGTCACCATTCTGACTTTGGAAGTGTGGTTGTCTCTCATCTGTCTCTGATTGCCCCCCCCCCCGAGCACCCACATGCCTCCTTCAGGGGTCCCCTCTGCCAGCCTCACACCCAAGCTGTGCAAAGACCCTGAAGCCCTCTCCAGGCTTCAGCTCCTTCCCATGCCATGGGCGGGGGCGGGGGGGGACTCCCTGCTGCTGTTGCCACGGCTCTGCCACGGGAACAGGTGCCGCTTCCCCCTCCACCCCACCCCTCCACTGGGCCACCGGCACCACGGGGCTGCTGTGCAGGCTGCACGTGGAGCTTAGGGAGGTTTCTGCCTTCCATTACTCTGGCCGTTGTTTCCAGGGCCTTCCCACCCTGCGGGGGCTACAGGGGCCCCCGGAGGCTTCCAGCCTGAGCCACGGGCGTGGCCGTGCACTTCTGGGCTGACGCTGAGCCAGGCTGTGGGTCTAGTCCTCTGCAGCTCCTCTGCGCCACCACCAGCTCGTGGCGAGGGCCCTCTGGGTGTCGCAGTGTCTGTCTGTGCCTGCAACTCTCGGGGACATGCCCACTTTTTCCAAGTGGTTCGAATAACGTCAGTTCTAGGAGGAAGGAGTGAGGGGACCGGGTTCCCGTCGTCTCGGGAGCCTTGTGTTCCCTGGGACCAACTTGTCCGGCACGTTCCTCTGAGAGCGGTTATGTAGGGGAGGGTGGGCAGCCCCTGCCGGCCACTCCAGAGGCCCCCTGACACCAGCCCTCTAGGGCTCCCTCCCCATTCATGTTTCCAAGCAGGGACCACCCTAGGTTTCAGGGAGGAGCAGTGACGACTGGCTCCGGCGTGAGGTCTTGCGTTCACCAAAGAGACAGCAGCCAGCATCTTCTCACCCATCAAAGACAAATGTACCGCACTCTGCAGTCCCACCTCCCCTGGCGGCCAGGTTCAAGTACAGTTAGCACAAACCAAAGTATCCACTTAGGAAGGGTTGTTTAAACTCAGAACCCGAGGAGGCAGTGTTTGATGTGGAATCACAGGACACGCAGATAGGGAGAAGGAGCCCGTGGGATGAGCACTGAGGGGGAGGGGAGGAAGCGCGGGGTGTCTCGTCTACAGAGCGAAGGCATGGGGGCTATTTAAGGCAAAGCACCGTCCGGGGCACCAAGGCTAGTGTTGTGGGGCTGTAGCTTGAGGGGCCCTAAATGCCAGGAGGAGGCACCTGGGTTTTGTCCCCAGGGAACGGGAGCTAGCAAAGGTTTTTGAGCAGGCAGGGAGTTTTTGGAGATATGGCGTGGTTGTCACATCAATAGTGGGTAGGAAGGGGGGCGCCTGGGTGGCTCAGTTGGTTAAGCATCTGACTTCGGCTCTGGTCATGATCTCATGGTTCGTGGGTTCAAGCCCCGCCTCGGACTCTGTGCTGACAGCTCAGAGCCTGGAGCCTGTTTCGGATTCTGTGCCTCCTCTCACTGCCCCTCCCTCGCTCATGTTCTGTCTCTCTGTCTCAAAAGTAAATATATATTTTTAATGGTGGGTAGAAAGGGTTGTAACCAGGAGGCTTGGAATAGAGGACCTGAGATGGCTGCCTCATACCTATGGGATGACCTGGGGCCACCAGCCTGTCACAGGTCAGGAGAGAGGTCACTGTGGGGAACGGAGGCTGAGGGGACTTGCAGGAAGCACCTCACATCCCTCCGCACGTTGTAGCTGTGTTTGCATTTAGGTATGTGAAGCAAGGCCCTGGGTCTTACTCAGCCTGTGTCCCTGAACTGACCCTGAGTCCCACAAAACCCGGCCCGGCGCCTGGACGCGGCTCTCTCCCGGACGAACGGCTGTCCTTCTGTGCCCGCTGGGAAGTTCGGGCCCCCTCCCTGGCTGGGCCCCCGTTCCCATGGCTGTGTGGTCCTGAGCAGCTCTCTCTGGGGCCCGAGACCAGGGCTGAACTCTTCTTTCTCCAAACCTCCCCAGCAGAGCCCGGAGCTTCCCAACCAGAGGGAAGCCAAGAGCTACACACAAGCTTTGCAGCCAGCTCCAGGGCCACCGGAAACCATTTCGTTTCCCTCCAGACCCAAGGTCTTGGTGGAACAGAGAAGAAAAGCACAGGAAGAAGGAAATCATAATAACAGCTACGAGGAGCCACTAGGAGCAAGCATGTGTACCAGGCCCTCACATGCACATTCAAATGCTCACACTCGTGCACATTCACACAAACGCTCATGCACACACGCACACTCACACGCTTACATACACGCACGCGCGTGCACACGCACCACACTCACATGCACATTCAAATGCTCACACGCACACTCACACTCACATGCACACACACACTCACATGCATATACATCCTCACATGCACCCTCACACGCACACACATACACAAGTGCTCGTGCACACTCATGTGCACACACACATGCACACACATGCTCACACATACATGAGCACAGTACTTCCTCAGCTTGGGACTGGTCCTCAGGGTGGCTTGCTGGTGCTGAGTCGAGTGAAAGACGCAGGAGCCTTCTTTGCCTCCTTTCCCTGGATCATGTGGACCTAGTCCAAGGCCTTTGGCTCATGCCGGGCCCAGGGAAGTCTTCTCTGAGCTCACTCAGATTTTCAGAATCCAAGCTGCTTCCTGCTGGGCCACGGTCCAGCCCATCCCTTGTCCAGGAAGTCGAGCCTCTGCCTGGGGCTTCTCAGGCCCTCCCCGTCCCCGGCCTGGAGTCCAACACCGTCCACGTGGCAGCCACCTCTTGGCTGCGTCGTCCTGATTAGTCATTCCACCTTGGCTCCATCTCCCTTCTGGTAACTTCCCTCCTACACAGCCACCTCCCCCGAGGCTCCTGCATCCTTCCTGGGTCTGGCTGACCCCGTAGCTTGTGTTTACTGCTCCCGCCTCTGGGACGTGCACCCTCATACTGTGCCCGGGAGTGCTGCTCGGGTGTTCTCCCTGAGGAACATGGAGGGGAAAGACGATGCTTCCCTCCCCCAAGGGTTTTGGGGTGTCTGCCTGATGCAGCCTTGGCCACCCCCAACGGTCGACAGTGCCAACTTTGGCCCAAAAAAATCAATTAAGAAAAGGACGGGGGCGCCTGGGTGGCTTAGTCAGTTAAACATCCAAGTTCGGCTCAGGTCGTGATCTTCCGGTTCGTGGGTTCGAGCCCTGCATTGGGCTCTGTGCTGACAGTCAGAGCCTGGGGTCTGCTTTGAATTCTGTGTGTCTCTCTCTGCCCCTCCCCTGTTCATGCTCCATCTCTCCTTTTCTCTCAAAAGTAAATAAACATTAACAATTTTTTTTAAAAAGACAAGGATGGAGAAGTGCCATTGGATTTAGTAATTAAGGGGTCCCTTGTGAGCTCAGTGAGCACAATCAGCAGGGGAGGGAGCGGGAAGTAAGTGAGTAAGTGAAGCTGGGGCTGGAAGGAGGGAGAAGGAAGGAGGTGGGACGAGCAGACCAGGAGAGATCTTAGGAGAATCTGGAGTCTGCACAGGTCTCTGAAGGAGACTGTGACGGCCTTTTGGCCATGGCCATGAAGGGGTAGAGTTGTGAAGTCCTTCTGGGCAAGGGACCAAGGGAGCAGGAAATCAGGAGTCATGTCCATTTTTTTTTTTAAGTTTATTTATTTATTTTGAGAGAAAGAGAGAATTCCAAGCAGGCTCTGCACTGACAGTGCAGAGCCCGAGACAGGGCTGAATCCCAAGAAATGTGAGATCGTGACCGGAGCCGAAATCAAGAGTCAGATGCTTAACTGACTGTGCCACCCAGGTGTCCCAGGAGGCATGTCCACTTTATGTGGCCTCGGAGTAAGTCCCCTCTGCGTTTCTGTCACGGCGGTGGGTGGGGTGGGCATCTTTACCATACTGTTTGGATTACTCTAGCTTTGTACTATAGTTTGAAATAAGGGAGCATGTGATCTCCAGCTTTGTTCTTTCTCAGGACTGCTTTGGCTATTCTGGGTCTTTTGTGGTTCTACATAAATTTTAGGATTATTTGTTCTAGTTCTGTGAAAAATGCCACTGGCATTTTGATGGACATTGCATTGGATTTGTAGATTGCTTTGGGTAGTACGGACATTTTAACAATATCATTTCTTCCGATCCATGTGCATGGAATATCTTTCCATTTATTTGTGTCATCTTTAGTTTCTTTCACCAATGTCTTAAAATTTCACAATACAGGTGACCATGACCTCCGTGGTTAAATTTATTCCTAGGTATTTTATTCTTTTTGATGTCATTGTAACGGGGGTTTTTAAAAATTTCTCTTTCTGATAGCTCATTATTCGTATATAGAAACACAACTGATTTGTGTATGTTAATTTTGTATCTTGCAACTTGACTGATTCGCTTGTTTGTGAATAGTTGTTTGGTGGAGACTTTAGGGTTTTTCTTTTTTTCTTTTTTTTCTTTTAATGTTTTATTTACTTCTGAGAGAGAGAGACAGAGTGAGCAGGGGAGTGTCAGAGAGAGGGGGAGACACAGAATCCTAAAACAGGCTCCAGGCTCTGAGCTGTCAGCACAGAGCCCGACGCGGGGCTCGAACCCACGAACCGTGAGGTCATGACCTGAGCCGAAGTCGGACGCTTAACCGACTGAGCCACCCGGGCGCCCCAGGGTTTTTCTATATATGGTACCATGTCATCTGCAAATAGTGACAGTTTTACTTCTTCCTTTTCAACTTGGATAACTTTTATTTCTTTCTGTCTTGGCTGATTGCTCTGGCTAGGACTTCCAAAACCCTGTTGGATAGAAGTGGTGAGAGAGGACACCTTATCTTGTTCCTGATCTTAGAGGAAAAGCTTTTAGCCTTTCACCATTGAGGGGGATGTCAGCTGTGGGTTTGTCATATGTGGCCCTTATTATGTTGAGGTACATTCCTTCTACATCCACTTTGCTGAGAGCTTTTATCGTGAACGGATGTTGAATTTTTGTCAAATGCTTTTCCTGCATTGGTTTAGGTCATCAGGCATATTATCCTTTGTTTTGTTAATGTTTTGTATCGTGTTGACTGACTTGCAGATATTGAACCATCCCTGCTTCCCTAGGATAAATCCCAAATGATGATGGTGTATGATCCTTTTAAAGTGTTTATTTTTTAAAATTTTGTTTTAATCTTTTTATTCATTTCCCGAGAGAGAGAGCGTGAGCAGGGGAAGAGCAGAGAGAGGGAAACACAGAATCCGAAGCAGGCTCCAGGCTCTGAGCTGTCAGTATAGAGCCTGACATGGGGCTCAAACCCATAAGCTGTGAGATCATGAGCTGAAGTTGGATGCTTAACTGACTGAGCCATTTATTTTTGAGAGAGAGAGAGAGCAGGGGAGGGGCAGAGGAGGGGACAGAGGGTCTGAAGCGGGCTCTCTGCTGACAGCACAGAGCCTGACGTGGGGCTCAAACTCACAGACCACAAGATCATGACTTGAGCTGAAGTCAGACACTTAACTGGCTGAGCCCCCAGGCACCCTGATGATCTTTTTAAAACATTGTTGGCCGCCTTTGGATTTTGCAGTTTGGGATTTTTGTGGGATTTCGTGGGGCTGGCGACAGGGCCCTCCCTGTCCGCGGTGCTTATGCCTTTGGAGCTTGGAGTGTGAGGGTGCGTCATCGGGTTATCCAAAGCCCTGGCTCAGCTTCCTCCGGGAAAAGGAGGCATCAGGGCCATGTCCTCAGTGGGTCTGGTCCTGCCTTCGAACCCTGTTTCCTGAGGGGCTCGAACATTTACTCCGAGCGTCTGGTCTAAGCTCTAGACCGCCGGTTCTCAGAGCGTGGCCCCCGGCCAGCAGCACTGGCAGCATCTGGAAATGCAGTCCCGAGTCTCAGGCCCACCCACATCTGCTGAATCTGGACTCTGGATGTGGGGCTTGAAATTGGCATTTCTAGCCACCTGTTGCATGATGCTAGTGGTCCAGGGACCACACTTTGAGAACCACTGGCCTCCACAAGCTGGAAGCTCCTTCCTTCAGTTGCAGCGGGCGCTGGCAGCAGGATTGGCCAGCTCTGGGCCACACCGGGTGGCGGTGAGGACTTGGACACGGCTGCCACACCCTGGAAGCCCTCGCGCCCGGAGGAGAGCCTCTCCTGAGGCAGAGAAATGAGGCTTCCAGGACGCGCACCAGGGCAGACCTCCTCGGGCCCGCGGCAGGGCCTCAGCAGCCAGGAAGCGCTCTGTCTTTGCAGGCGTGTGACCTTGGGCGGGTGACCGGCCTCTCACAGTCTCGGCGTCCCCACTGGTGGAGCGGATTTACAACTACCTCCGCTGCTTTGAGGGTGGATGAGTGGCCGCACGTTGGGCACCGCACCTGCCACATAGTGGGACCACGTGTGGACGCGTAATAGGACTCGGTGGCACTTCCGTCCCCCTGACTGTGGCAGCACCATCTTCAGCTGCCCGTCCTGTCTTCTGCCTCCTCACACGCTACAGGCCCCACAGTTGTCTCCCAGGCCGGGAGATCAGGTGGGCCCCAGGGGCCTTATCTGGGATGAAATGTGCCACCTTAGAAAATTGGAGGCCACCTCTCTTCTCTTCCATTTAGCCCCCCTCCCAAGAGAGTCGCTGCTTCATGCAACATACAGCTTCCCTTCCGCCAAAGGCCCGCGTCTCACGGGCAGAAAGTGTCCCCGGGCTGCTGCCGGGAGAGGTCCCGGTGCCGCAGCGAGGTCCCGCCCAGCCGGGCTCTCTCCTCTCTGGTCTGAGCCATGTCCACGGCACTGCCAGTCCCTCTCATGACGAATTGAACAAGCCGTCTAGACAGTACGTGACTGTCTCTGCGTCTACCTGCAAGGGAGGGCGGATGATGTCAGCACCCGCGGGTGGGGGTGTGCCCGGCCCTGGGCGGCCAGCGCGTTCACCGTTGACGGGTGACAGCCCCACTGCGAGGCAGCCGAGGGCGGCTAGTCCGGCCTCTGGCCGGGCTGCCTGGGGGCCAAGCCTCTGTCTCCTGCAGGGCCTCTTCCGCGATCCTGACTCATTTTGAACTAGAGCCTGAATGTGATTACACAAGACTCTCCTTATTGGAAACAAAAACAACTCTCCCCTCACCCCTCACCTCTCCCGAGGGCACCTCTCCTTCCTGCACGGCAGGAAGCTTCTCGAAACAGCTGCCTGTACTTGGCTGTCTCCACCGCGACCCCTGAATTGCTAGGTGCCAAAAGTCCGCCTCACTCTTCACCTTTCTGGAATTCTCTGCGGCGTCTGGCACAGCTGACCGACCATCCCTCTTGATCAGCTGTCCTCGGTTTCCAACACATGCCTCGCCCGGAGGTCCTCCAACCTCTCTTTTTCGTCCCGGTCCCCTCCCTGCGCCCCTTCTTCTCCCCTCCCCCCTCTCACACTGACCCCAGGGCCCTGTCCTCTGTCCTCACTGCTCTTCTCGCTCAGGGACGTTTCCTCGGCGAATGGTGTCTGTCCCATGGCCTCACTCTACACCTCTGTGCAGACACGTCCCAAAACAGGCCTGGCCCAGCCTCCCCTCTGTACCCCTGACCCTTCGAATCCCGCAGCCCACCCAGCACGCCCCGCCCCACCCCGCCCCTGCTCCACAGGCACCTCAGACCCAGCAAGTTCCAAACCCTGCTGATGGGCTGCCCCAGACCTCCCCTCTGCCCAGGCTCCCCTCCCTTGAGAAGAGACCACCCATCGCAGAAAATTATAGGAGCAGATGAGAAGCGGGAAATACAGAAAGAAGAACCCGTATTTCTGCAGTCCCGGCGCACAGCATCATCTATGCTTTTAATATTCTAGTTTCCCTGCTTAACATTTTAGCCTAAGGATGTGCCTGCCATTACCAATTCTCTGCAACTTATTTTTTAAATGTTTACTTATTCTGAGAGAGAGAGACAGAGCCAACAGGGGAGAGGCAGAGCGAGAACCCTAAGCAGGCTCCATACCGTCAGCGCAGAGCCCGACACAGGGCTTGATCTCATGAACTGTGAGATCATGACCTGAGCGGAAATCGAGAGCCAGTCGCTCAGCTGACTGAGGCCCCAGGCGCCCTTCTGCACAGCTGACGTGAGAGCTGTTAGGAACAGAGAACACCTCCCGACCGCGCAGGGGATGGAGTGGGAAGTAAGCCTCCCTCCCACACCACCCGGCAGTCACCTACCCCTCCCCGAGCAGCTGCCTTCCCTGCATGTCCTTTTGCGGACACCCCGGCCCACACAGGCCCACACACACCACCATCCCCACCCTTCCCTGCACGCAGGGCAGCACCCTGTTTATGCCTCCTCTTTTCTCACTTGGAAATCACTCCGTACGGCCCACGGAAGGCTCCTCGGCCTGTTTCCAGACTTTCCACGCGCTGCTGCATGGTCACCCCGCGCTTAGGAACCTGTCCTCCGCCGAGAGACATCTGGGTCGTGGGCCAGCCTCGCTGAGATAAATCAGACGGCAGTGCAGAGGTGTGGGGCCGGGGGCTGGGGCCCTGGCAAGGTTTGAAGGAAGCGTTGGCGAGGCCTGGGTTGGGCAGAGACAGGCGGTGACGCGGCGAGGGACCGGCTGCCGGGCCGCGCGAGTCTGGCTCTGAGCTCATCATCCCGAGTGGAAGTGCTGTACTGGACAGACGACGAGCCTGCCACTCGGGCCCAAGGCACCCGGGTCCACGCGGGCCAGGGGCTGCGCTCAGGAAGCGGGGCGCACACTGTGCAAGGCGCTGGGCCCTGAGCCAGCTCCTCTAACCCTCGCGCCAACCTGAGAAACAGGCACTGGTCCCCACTGTACAGACAGGAGGTGACGGAAGTGGGGGCCCTGAGTCCTACTTCTCTGCAGCGCAGGCCTCGTCTGTGGGGGAGGGGAGCGGGGGGAGACAGAGGACAGAAGTATCTCCAGAGAGGCCCCGTATGTGACCTCAAGCACCGAAGTCAGCCCTTCCTCCTGGGCCCTGACAGGTCTCTGAGTGGCAGGGCCTCGGGCAAAGTGGGCTGTCTGGGGTGTCCTGGGCCACCGTCTGCCTCTGACCCCGGGGCCTATGCTTGTCTCTGGCAGGTTCTGCCCATCGTTATTTTCTTCAGCTGTGTCATGTCCGTCCTCTACTACGTGGGCCTCATGCAGTGGGTGATCCAGAAGGTGAGTTCCCAGTGCCATGGCCTGGGCTCCCCCAAGGCTGCCTACTCACGGGGCTCGTGCTCTCCCAGAATGCCTTGCTCCCAGAACCCAACCCTCCCCCTCCCACCCCCCCACCAACTATCCTTCTCTGAGGGCCTGGACCTTCCCAGAATTCTGCTCCCAGAGTCTACACCCAGAATCCCCTGCTCTCAAGGTCTGTACCTTCCCAGAATCCTCTGTCCCAGAGTCTACACCCTCCCCGAATCCCCTGCCCCCAGGGTCTATACCCTCCCAGAATCTCCTGCTCCCAGAGTCTACACCCAGAATCCCCTGCTCCCAAGGTCTGTACCTTCCCAGAATCCTCTGCTCCCAGAGTCTACACCCTCCCAGAATCCCCTGCCCCCAGGGTCTATACCCTCCCAGAGTCTCCTGCTCCTAGAGTCTACACCCAGAATCCCCTGCTCCCAAGGTCTGTACCTTCCCAGAATCCTCTGCTCCCAAAGTCTACAACCTCCACGAATCCCCTGTTCTCAGGGTCTGTACCTCCCACTCAGAGTCGTCTACTGTTAGCCAAACATCTTTCACAGAGTCTTGTCTCTTGTCATGACACTAAGGAGAAATGGCATCAAACCCAATGTGCTCTTTGTGGGGGAGGAGTTTGCAGAATTGAGGCTGCTTTGAGATGAAACGTCAGGGAAAGAAATAATTTATACCAAAAAGAGCTTGAGAGACTGGAGCAGTGGGCCACACTGGCCAGACCTAGCTGGTGTAAGTGTCGAGCCCTGGGCTTATGTTCATAAAACGTGTCACACAAAACCAAGAGGCAGGAGACAGCACCCGGACCCGGCAATGAGGGTGAGTCAGGTTTTAGGTGACTGAGCTCAGAATACACCAGTGCCGGCAGGGGGCTGCCAGCTACGCAAAACCCTGTGGTTCTGGTGAGAGTGCGCACGGCCCGGTCGGCGCAGCGGGAGGGAGGCGGTCCTCTCTCCACGTCTGGAGGACGCCCAGCCAAGGGGCTGTGAGCACCCAAGGGTCAGGGGAACGGTGACAGTGCTCTCCGCAGGATGGCTGAAGGAAGTAGGGAGGGTGAGCCTGGAAAAGAGAGGGCGAGGGTGGAGGAGGGTAGGGGGTAGGAGAGCCGGCTCCAAATACATATAGAAGAAAGGTTAGGGAGGGGGCAGCCGAGAGGTTCCTGCAGAGCGGAGAAATTCAAGGGAAGCTGACTTCATCTTGATTGAAAGGAAGAACTTTCTTATACAGTGTTTTCTTTTTTTTTAATTTTTAAAAATGTTTTATTTATTCCTGAGAGAGAGAGACGGGGAGAGACAGCATGAGCAGGGGAGGGTCAGAAAGAGAGGGAGACACCGAATCTGAAACAGGCTCCAGGCTCTGAGCTGTCAGCACAGAGCCGACGCGGGGCTCAAACCCACAAATCGTGAGATCATGACCTGAGCCGAAGTCGGGCGCTTAACTGACTGAGCCACCCAGGCGCCCCGTACAGTGTTTTCCAAAAGCCTTTTCCACAAAACTCCAGCTCCATGGTGGGTTAACACACATCACTGGGTAAAGGGATCCCATGGTCAAATACTTTTGTAAAGGTGGACTAGACAAATGTAAGTAAGTTTTCGTACAGGACTTCTCAGAGCCTTTACTAAGCAGATGTATCCGGTACCCTCCAAGATGTGTGTGTACGGCGATTCGCAAATATATTCATCCAAGGAATCCTTTTGTATGGATTCAGCTTTTTAAAAGTGCTGCTCTAGTTATTCCCATAATTAGAATATGGCTCAGGTGGGCCGGGTGGCCTCGGGAAGCGAGAGCCCCCATCAGTGGAGGTGGGAAAGGAGAAACGGAGGTGAGCGTTGCTCTGCTGGGCTGGGACTTGGAAGGAAGACTTACCGGGTACTTCCACCCAACCCCACCCCACCCCCAACTCTCTCCAACTCTGGGGTTTGCTGATGTCTGTCCACAAAGAGTGCTCTGCCTCCTAGATCAGCTGGCTGATGCAGGCCACCATGGGCACGGCCGCCACGGAGACCCTGAGTGTGGCTGGAAACATCTTCGTGAGCCAGGTAGGCCCCGCGGCCTCCCGCGCCAGCGCTCCCCGGCAGCAGTCACAAGGCGGGCGGGTGTCCCGGGTCCCCGCAGCTCCCATTCAGTCAGCAGAAGGGACGTGCTCGGAACTTTTCCCAAGGTCACCAAAGGCTGCTGTCCCAGGGGACGCTCCCTTTGGGGATGCACTCCTTGCCTGGGGCGGGCCCGGGGGGATGGCCTCTGTCCGGCACCTCCTACCCCCCTAGGCCTCGAGGGTCTTCATCCACTTAGAGACTCACAAAACCCACAGATGGTGTTCACCTTTCTCCACGTAGAAACAGGCTCAGGGGTGGGAACAGCTTGCCAGGACCCCACAGCATAAATCATGCTTAGAATCCAGGTTTCCTCTTTCCTGGTCAGGGATCCTTACATGAAATCATTTTATCTCCCTTCCCCCCCTCCCGCCCCGCCCCCGCCCCTGCCCCCATCCTCCGACAGCCTCCCTCTTTCTGAAATGTATTTTCCGAAGTAAATGTGACTCTGAAGGCACCCGTCAGTCCTGAGCTCCTTTTCGTGAGGCCCGGCACTCGTGGGGGTGAGACCCCAGAGCCCGTTCCAAGGTCCAAGCCCATCTGACCCACCCTGGAGTCACCGAGAGACATGCCTGCCATAGCATGCGTGTTTCACCAGGCAGTTCAGGACACTAGAGCATAGTTGCATCCTTTAGGGTACAGTATGTGTGCTGATATCAAAGGGTTTTTGGTTTTTTTTTAATTTTTTAATGTTTTTTATTTATTTCTGAGAGAGAGAGAGAGAGAGAGCATGAGCAGGGGAAGGTCAGAGAGGGAGACACAGAATCTGAAGCAGGCTCCAGGCTCTGAGCTGTCAGCACAGAGCCGGACGCGGGGCTCAAACCCACGGACTGTGAGATCATGACCTGAGCCGAAGTCGGACGCTTAACCGACTGAGCCACCCAGGCGCCCCTCCAAAGGTTTTTTTTTTAAACCAATTAAGATGGTGTGCTCTCTGATAAGTTGTCTCAAATCCCTTACGATGTTTAAGATGAGACAAAGGAGAAAGAAATACCGAAATACAAAAGCATTTATTTATTTATTAATATGATTTATTGTCAAATTGGTTTCCACACAACACCCAGTGCTCACCCCAACAAGTGCCCTCCTCCATGCCCATCACCCCCTTCCCCTCCCCCCACCCCCCATCAGTCTTCAGTTTGTTCTCTGTATTTAAGAGTCTCTTACGGTTTGCCTCCCTCCCTCTCTGTTTGAAACTATTTTTCCCCTTCCCCTCCCCCATGGTCTTCCGTTAAGTTTCTCAAGGTCCACATATGAGTGACGACATATGATATCTGTCTCTCTGACTTATTTGACTCAGCATCATACCCTCCAGTTCCATCCATGTTGCTGCAAATTGCAAGATTTCATTCTTTCTCATCGCCAAGTAGTATTCCAGTGTAGCCACATCTTCCTTCTCCATTCATCAGTTGATGGACATTTAGGCTCCTTCCGTAAAAGCATTTATGTAAATGAAATGTGGCAGATGTACTCCATGGTTTTTTGCTGTGAAAATACAAATTTTAGGTAAATGGGATCCCAGGCTCCTTAGCGGAACTGACTTTGAGCAAGATGATGGGCACGTTGACCTAGACTCTTGGGTCTTTGCCTTGTTTTCCCCAAGGGGAGGGGATGAAGAGAACTTTGAGGATTGTCGGCATCATTCAGCCTCCATGTTGGCAGCCTGGGCCCTCTCGGCGCAGGGGGGTGGGGGAGGGGTCCTGTTGCTTAAATGTTGCTTAAATGCTTTATGTGTCACCCAGACCCTGCTCTGCAGTCCTGACCTTGCCCCAAGCTCCAGTCCGGGCCACCCCACTGCCGCCTTGACCTTCTATTTGAGTCCCTAAGGGGCATCTCAAATCCATCACACCAAGTCCGAGCAGGTGGCACCCTGATTCCCTCCCGCACGCTTCTAAGTCTTTCCCTTCTCGGGAAATGGTGCCGTCATCTTCCACAAAGTCGTTCAAACAAAACTCAGGAATCTTCCTTCCTTCCTCTGCTTCCCGTGCTCTTGGCTGCCTCTGGCCCCCTCGCCCCGTCCCAGCCCTGCCCCCCTCCCCCCTGCCCTTCTCCATTACCACGAGCCACCCTAGTCTCCCCCTGGCCGCTGAATCTCCTCCCTCTCTCCCTGCTTTTGTTCCCGCCTCTACCATCGGCCCTTCATGCTGGCGCCAGAGTGATCCTTTAAAACCACAAATCAAATCAGGGAGTCTGGGGGGCTCGGGGCTAAGCGTCTGACTTCAGCTCAGGTCATGATCTCACGGTTTATGAGTTCAAGCCCTGAGCCGGGCTCTGTGCTGACAGCTCTGAGCCTGGACCTGCTTCAGATTCTGTGTCTCCCTCCCTCTCTGCTCCTCCCCCTCCTCAAGCTTTGTGTCTCTCTCAAAAAAATTTTTTTTTCTTTTTTTTTTTAATTTTTTTTTTATTTCTAGAAGAGAGAGAGAGAGAGAGAGACAGCATGAGCAGGGGAGGGTCAGAGAGAGGGGGAGTCACAGACTGAAACAGGCTCCAGGCTCCGAGCTGGCAGTCAGCACAGAGCCCGACGCGGGGCCAGAACCCACGAACTGCGAGATCATGACCTAAGTGAAAGTCGGACGCTTAACCGACTAAGCCACCCAGGCGCCCCTCTCTCAAAAATTATTTAATAAACATTAAAAAAATCTTTTTTAAATAAAAACAAACCAGATCAGGGCACCTGGGTGGCTCAGTTGGTTAAACAGCCAACTCTTGATTGTGGCTTAGGTCTTGATCTCAGGGTCCCTGAGCTCAAGCCCCTGTGTTGGGCCCCATACTGGGTGTGGAGCCTCCTTAAAAATAAAAAACCCAAACCAGATCCGGTCACTCCTACGTAGCCAAGTCCACTCCTTAGCCCAGCTTCCCCCTCCTCCATGCGGAGCCCCGCCCCACACTCCCTGTGGGGCAGGCAGGGTGGTCCGCTCTCAAGTCCTCAGAACTGCCAACGTCAAATCTGCCCCAGGACCTTTAGTGCTCACTCTGCCTGCAGCGCTACCAAACCCAACAGCTGGCACCTGCGCTCTCAACTCCAAAGTCACCTCCTTGGAAAGGCCTTTGTTTATTATTCAGTTTTAAATATCCCCCAACCACTAGGCATCCACCCCCCCAGCCCCCATGTATCTCCATAGGTTTTAGCAACATCTAAGATACGCTGTTTATCCACTTGGTTCCTCGTTGATCAGTGTCTTTCCTTTACTCACCCTCCTCCGTTGCACCCAGGAAAAAACTCCTTGAGGGCAGGGACTTTGTGTCCCCCATCCCTATTCTATAGAACAGTCTGGAACATAGTAAGAGCTCAGTAACTATTTTTTTAAGTTTATTTCTTTATTTTGAGAGGGAGAGACAGAGACAAAGAGCGTGTCATGAGCAAGGCAGGGACAGAGAGAGAGAGAAAGAGAGAGAATCCCAAGCAGGCCCCACACTGTCGGTGCAGAGCCCAATACTGGGCTCAATTTTATGAATCGTGAGATCATGACTGGAGCTGAAAACAAGAGTCAGATGCTTAACCGACGGAGCCCCCCAGGTCCCCTCTTTGAGCCTCTCTAATTCCCTGCTTGCTCTCCTGGAAAATGGGATGAGCACTTGTTTCTGAGAAGGTCATGAGTGGTGAACGTGAGGTGCTTAGTGAGGCCAGGACATACTAGGCACTCGACATGGGACCATCATCAGGCCGAGAGGAAGGCCTGGGGTCTTCCCATAGGGCCGGGCCAATGCCCAGGCTCAGGGAGGCCCAGCCAAGTACAGACCATGGTCCTGACGCCATCTTGCTATCCCTACCCCGGGCCCTCCGGCACTCACCATGACGTGCCCACCCCCAGGGTGCTGCGGGGCATCCTGGTGCCCGGGCCGGCTCTGCTGCTCTGTAACCGTTCCTGTTTGCAGACTGAGGCTCCTCTACTGATCCGGCCCTACTTGGCAGACATGACTCGCTCTGAAATCCACGCCGTCATGACCGGAGGCTACGCCACCATCGCGGGCAGTCTGCTGGGCGCCTATATCTCCTTTGGGGTATGTACACCCCTCCCTTTGTTTGCTGAAAACCTCTAGAACCTGAAACCCTCCTTTGTGGGAACCCCACACAGCTCCTGTCCAGAGCAGTCTAGAGTCTTCTCCCGTGGGTCTGTGTCCAGGACGAAACAGGAGAGGCTACACCTTGCTGAGGCGGGCCGGGTGGGCTGGACTATTCAGCTTCTCATGTGGCCGGTGGGGGGGAGGGTCCCTGGTGCGGCACCTGCCGACCCCCTCTCATGTTCCAGGCACAGTGCTAGTATCTGAACATCCCCATTTTACAGATGAGAAAATTGAGGCTCAGAGAATAAGTGAGATGCCCAAGCCAGGATCTGAACTCACATCTGTCTGACTCTGAGACTTATACACACTGTCCCTCTCCGGGGCTGTCCCTGGAGATGTGTCCTCTCCTGCCCTCCTCCTCCCCACCCCCTTCCCGGGTACGGGTCCTCCCTCTGCTCCGAAATTATTGCTTGTGCAGCTTTGAATGCAGTACGTTTCTAGGTCCAATTCCAATGGTGTGACTCAAGCCTTGACACCAATCCCAATACTGTGTAGTAAGCAGAGTGAGTCTTCAAATGTGCCCCCTACAGACTTGCTGGTAATATGCTCTGCATTTGTTAAACACTCTGTAGTTATTTGTGCTTTCACATGTAAATATTTTTTTAAAAATTTTTAACGTTTATTTTTAAGAGCGAGAAGGAGAGAGCAAGCGCAAGTGGGGGAGGAGTAGAGAGAGAGGGGGCACAGGATCCAAACCTGGCTCCAGGCTCTGAGCTGTCAGCTGAGCCTGAAGCGGGGCTCAAACTCACAAACCATGACATCACAACCTGAGCCGAAGTCAGATGCCCAACCAGCTGAGCCACCCAGGTGCCCCAAGCGAATCTTTTTTTTTTTTTTTAAGTTTTACTTTAATTTATTTATTTTTGAGAGAGACAGAGGCAGCAGTAGTAGAAGGGTGGCAGGGAGAGAGGGAGAGGGAGAGACTCCCAAGCAGGCTCCGTCCGCACTGTCAGAACAGCGGGGCTCAAACTCACGAAACTATGAGATCATGACCTGGCCCAGAACCACGAGTGGGAAGCTTAACCGACTCAGCCACCCAGGTGCCCCTCACATGCAAATCTTTAAAGATCTTAATTTTTCCCTTAATTATCAAAGAAATGCTTGCTACTTACAGAAGTGAAGAAAGTGAAAAGAGAACTTCTTCAAACCCATTTCTCATGGGGAACTGCTTTTACTAGATAAACTAGATTAGAATAGCCGTTCTCTAATGGGAACTTGTTAGAAATGCAAATTCTTGGGCACCAGCCCAGACCTGCTAAATCAGAAACACTGGGGAAGGGGCCTCATATCCTGTATTACAACAAGCCTTCAAGATGGCTCTGATGCTCAATTTGAGAGCCACTGGTTTAAAATATATTATTCCAGATCTTTCTGTGTAGTCATTTAAGTATATATATACCTGAACACACATCTTGCCGCCTTTTCTTTTTTTTTTTTTTACTAAAAATTGGGTAATTCTAACTGCTTTTCTGCAGCTTGCCTTTTTCTTGCAAAATTCTGAGCATGACATGAAATCCAGAAGTATAAAGGAAAAGTTTGACAGAGCTACTGATGAAAAGAAAATGCCTGCATGATGGAAGTTAAGGTTTTTTAAAAAAAAGTTTAAATGATGGATCAGGCAAAAACAGTTCATAAATCGTAAGAAGATATTCCAGCTCACTGAAAGTCAAAATAAAACAATCATAACTTAATGTTTCTTTTAGAAGATGCAATATTTCACATGCCTCTAAAAGACTATGGGACACTTTTGATGGGAGCATAATTTGCTGTAACCTTTTGGGAGAACATCTATCAGTCAGTTTAAAAATATTCTTTCTCAGGGCGCGTGGTGGCTCAGTTGGTTAAGCGTCTGACTCCAGGTCAGGTCATGATCTCACGTCTGTGGGTTTGAGCCCTACATCTGGCTCTGTGCTGACAGCTCAGAGCCCGGAGCCTGCTTCGGATTCTGTGCCTCCCTCTCTCTCTGTCCCTCCCCTGCTTGTGCTCTGTCTCTCTGTGTCTCAAAATAAATAAATAAATAAATGTTGGGGAAAAAAATACTCTTCCCTTTTGATCTAGTTAGGAATATTATGATACAGAAATGTTTTTGCAAGTGGTCAAAACATGCCAAATTCCAACATTATTTGTAGCAACAACAACAAAAAAGGGGCGCCTTGGTGGCTCAGTCGGTTAAGCCACCAACTTCAGCTCAGGTCATGATCTCACGGTTCGTGGGTTCGAGCCCTGTGTCGGGCTCTGTGCTGACAGCTCGGAGCTTGGACCTGCTTCAGATTCTGTGTCTCCCTCTCTCTCTGCTCCTCCCCTGCTTATGCTCTGTGTCTCTCTGTCTCTCAAGAATAAATAAATGTTAAAAAAAATTGGAGGTAAAGGAAGAATGAATGAGTGAAAGAAAGAGGAAGGAAGGAAAGTGGAGAGAACAAGAAACGACCTAAATGTCGGCAGGAAGGGAACAAGCTGAGTCAGTGGGTCCAGGCCATGCGCTGCAGCTTGGCCCCTGGGTGAGGTGGGCCTCCTTGTGCGGATGGGGAGCAAAGGCCTGCCTCTCACTGCCACAGGGTCTCCTGAGGGCTGCTATGTGTGTGTTGTGGGGGGAGGGGGGCGAGGATGCTAGAACCGCCCGCCCTGTCCCCTCCTCTGGTCGCAAATTCCACCTGTCTTTCTCACCTCTGCCCTTGGGAGCAGACCAGGGGACGAGCCACCCCCTTCAGGCCTTCCCTCCCTCAGGACACACGGACCACACGGTGGGTAAGCCACAGAGCTGCCTGGGCGGGGCTGGGGCTGTGCCACTTTTCCAGAAGGCCCCTTGCGCTCCTGGTGCCTTTCAAGATCACCTGATTCACACTTGTCTCACCGAGGCCTAGAGAGAGCCCATCAGGGCTGGTGCCTCCCTACCCCGAATTGATTTCGGCAGATATTTTTTTTTTTTAAGTTTATTAAGAGGGGCAGGGGCAGAGAGAGGGGGAGACACAGAATCTGAAGCAGGCTCCAGGCTCTGAGCTGTCAGCACAGAGCCTGACATGGGGCTCGAACTCGTGAACCATGAGATTATGACCTGAGCTGAAGTCGGATGCCCAACTGACTGAGCCACCCAGATGCCCCTGGGTTTTTTTTTTTTTTTTAAGTTTACTTATTTTGAGAGAGAGAGAGAGAGCACTCGTGCAAGCACGCAGGGGAGGGACAGAGAGAGAGAGAGAGAGAAGGTCCTAAGCAGGCTCCACACTGTCAGCACAAACCCACAAACAGTGAGATCATGACCTGAGTCAAAGTCGGGTCGCTTAACCGACTGAGCCACCCAGGCACCCCTGATTTCAGAAGGAATTTGATACTCTAAAAATGCAAACTCAAGACTTTGCTCCTGAAACTTCTTTTCCTGGTGGCACGTAGGGGGAGGGGACGCCTTTTGGGGACTTAGGGCCTTTTAAGTGCCTTGACTTTGCTCTGGGTCCCACACTAGTTAAAAGAATGATATTCTTCCCACCCCAGGAGCCTTGCTGCCATTGCTTCAGATTAAAATACTGCAAGATCCCTCCTTCGCCTTGTCTCAGCTTCGGGTCCTTCCCTGTCTCGGGGCCAGAGCCCAGGCCCAAGCCCCAGGCAGTCGCGCCTCCCCGGAAGGGACCTGGGTGCCCACTTCCCTTTAGGCTCAGCAGACTGTGCAGAGGCCACCAGGGTCCCCAAGCACAGCCTCTGGAGCGGAAGCCCCAGACCCCATCACGGGCCCAGGTGAAAAGCACCCAACAGAACTTCCCTTCCCTCCTTCCCTCCCTGCTCCGAATGGGCCTCTAGTCCTGTGTCAGAGAAGCTCCCTTCTGCCCCCACCTGGCTCTTGGCCGCCACTGCAGCCGCCCCAGACCTCCCTCGACTGCCTGCCACTCTTTTTCTCTCTCCCCCAGGAGGTCCTCTGCCCTCAGCCCCAGAATCCCACCGCGATCCCCCTTGCCCACTCTTTGTTTCTCTTTGTCGCTCAGCTTCTGGCTCCCTTTGCCCCGCTCCCCTCCTCCTGGATGTTTCTAGACCTGCGCTGTCCGATGCAGTCACCGCTAGCCACACGCGGCCACTGAGCGGTGGAAATGTGGCTGGTGTGAAATGAGATGTGCTGTGAGACAGGGGGGCGGGGGGTGGGTGGTGTGGATACATTTTATTAGTAAGTTTTGTATAGATTACATGCGTGGAAAGATAATGTTTTGGATGCGTTGGGTCATGTAAAATTCATGATTTTACCTGTTTCTCTTTACTTTTTAAAAATGTTTATTTTTTTATTTTGAGAGACAGAGACAGAAAGCATGAGCGGGGAAGGGGCAGAGAGAGAGAGGAAAGGAGGGAGAGGGAGAGAATCCCAAGCAGGCTCCCCCCTGGCAGCGCAGAGCCCGACTGGGGGCTCAATCCCATGAAGTGAGAGATCATGATCTGAGCCCAAATCGAGAACCGGACGGCTAACTGACTGAGCCCCCCAGGCACCCCTTTCTTTACTTTTTTAATTGGCTACTAGAGAATTTAAGATGAGACATGGTTCTCATTATATTTGCATTGGATGACACTGGTCTAGACCTCGTGGCCTGTTCTGAGGTCCCCGGGCTCCCTGAATCTGTTCACTGGGATCTCCATAGAAATCTCCTTTTTCACCACAGTTCCCCAAGGCCCTAAAGCAGGTCCCAGCTCGGCCCACCAGCCGCAGAAGCTGGTCTCTCTACCCACCCCCTCCCTTTAGCTCAGGGGCCCCTCTGAGAGGCACTGTGAACACAGGCTGGGCAGGGTGAGGCTGAGGGGATCAGCCACTGATGGTTCTCAATCGACTGTGCAAGAGTGGGGGCCCTGGGGTAGCGTCTGTGAGGCCCTGAGCCCGGCCGACTGAGCACATGCTACGTGACTTCCACATCTGTCAGGTGGGCCGAACTACCGCCCATCTCACAGCAGCTTAAGAATTAAATGCAACCATAGAAAACAGCACAGTGTTGAAAAGGTGGTGGCTCTTTCTCTGACAGATTAGGGTCAGAACTCTGCCCTGAAACTGGCCCAGTGTATGTTGTGTAGGGTGTGGATTAAGGACCCCTAGCCTGTAGCCCTCTCTACCTGGGGCGCCTTTGGGTAAAGAGAGGAAGCCTTTGGGCAGGAGCAGGCCCTGGGATGGGGGGGCAGACGGCACTCCTTGGGGAAGGGGGGTCACAGCCTGAGAAGTAGCTGGCAGCAGGGCGGCCGCGTGTGGACTGACCCAGCGCCCCGGGGAGGCCGGCCTGGGCAAAACTGAGTCCTTTCCAAGCTGACATGACCAGCCGGAGCATGTGAGGCCGTGGCCGTGCCCGGGCCACTCAGACGGTGTCCAGGAACACGATGGCCGTGGGCCGTGTGCCCTGCTCACGCTGGCAGTCCAGACGTGACCTCCGAGGTGGAGGAAGGGGGAGGGTCCTGGCCGATGGAGGAGAAGCCCCAAGACTCCAGGGATGGTACAGTCCCCAGGGGGTCTGGGCAGCCTCAAGGAGGCCAGTGACGTCCCAAAGCCCAGCCAGAAACATCCAGAGAGGACACCTGCCCCGGGGCCGGCCTCTTTCCATGAGGAGCCGGCCCCGCACACCCAGGGCCTAGGATGGGGTGTGCGGGGGGAGGGAGTGGATGCTGATACTCGTCTTAAGAGGTTTCCATTCCTCGGTGTAAGACAACAGGCCAGACACCCCATGTTTCAGAGCCTTCCACACTGCTTACTTCTTACATTTTTTTAATTTTTTGTTTTGTTTTTCTGAGAGAGAGCGAGACAGCGTGAGCAGGGGAGGGTCAGAGAGAGAGGGAGACACAGAATCCAAAACAGGCTCCAGGCTCTGAGCTGTCAGCACAGAGCCCGACGCGGGGCTCGAACCCACGAACCACGAGATCATCACTTGAGCTGAAATCGGACGCTTAACCGACTGAGCCCCCCAGGCACCCAACATTGCTTACTTCTACGAGTTTCCCCCTCTCTGCTTTTATTAGCCCGAACCTGTAGCTTAAACTTAACCCCCCTCCTTTCCCCCCTTTTTATGTAAAATTAAAGAACTACAGTTGATGTTTTACAGTCTTTAAGGAGAAGAAGTCTATTTGACTCTTCTGTTTATAAAAGCAATATGTAGTGTTGTGGACACGCAGAAATAACCAAAAAGCGAAAAGCAGAGAAAACCACCCTGGCCCCACCAGCCCGGGACAGGCGGCTGGCTGACGTTTTGGTGTACCTCTTTCTGATCTCTTCATGCACAGCTGTGGAGGGTTTTTCACCCCCCCCCCCCCCCCCCCACCAAAAAGTAAAACTCCCGATGCAGGCTTGTGGGCATCTCCCGTGCTACTGCGAAGCCTTGGTAACCATGATTTTCAGTGGCCGCTTGACAACACTTAGCCATTCTGTTGTTAGGTGTTTGGGCAGGTTCCAATTTTTCCACTTGATAAATAATACAGTGTTGGGGGGGAAATGTTCCGTCTACCTCTGGGGGAAGAAAACAGGGGAGCAGAGGGTTTGAGGCCACAGGGTGGACCAGAGTGGCTGTTGTCGCAGGCAGATTTCCTAAGAGCTCTCTGACCACGGGAGTGGGTGTGATGGGCTGCCTTGAAGTGGTGAGCTCCCCATCACAGTAAGTATTTGAGGACATGCCTATACTATGAGGTCAAATTAGGTCACCTCGTGGATCCATCCCAAACTCCTCGGCTAATGGAGGACCAGCCATCAGATGAGTGGTCAAAGGGAGACAGCCTAGAAGGGAAGGAAGAACTTTGAACTTGGAGCCAAAGGACACGGAGGTTCAAATTCCTTCTCCATCTTCATTTTGGGCAGGTTACATTTAATCTTGTAGGGCCCCGGTGTCCTGGTCTGTACTGTGGATTACAGCTACTCGCTCTGCCTGGCTTCTAGAAGTCCTGGAGGGAAACGTGAGGTTCTGTACATACAGCCCGTGACCCTTTACACTGTCAGTAACCATGACAGACAGTGGGACGGAGTATGCATGCCCCGTGCGGCCTGGGCTGCACTCCTGGCGGGGACATTTCCTTTGTCTCCTCCTAAGCCCCATTCTCTCTCCCTCTCTCTTTTTTTTTTTAAAAAGCACTCATTTTATGATTTTTTAAAAATTGTTTTTATTTGTTTTTGAGAGAGAGAGAGCAAGCAGGGGAGGGGCAGAGAGAGAGGGAGACACAGAATCTGAAGCAGGCTCCAGGCTCCCAGCTGACAGCGCTGAGCCGGACCCATGGGGGCTTGAACCCACGAACCACGGCATCTTGACCTGAGCTGCAGCGGGACACTTAACCCCACAAGCCCCATTCTCAATCCTGCAGATCGACGCCGCCTCCCTGATTGCTGCCTCAGTCATGGCCGCGCCCTGTGCGCTGGCGCTCTCCAAGCTGGTCTACCCTGAGGTGGAGGAGTCCAAGTTTAGGAACCCGGAAGGGGTGAAACTGACCTGAGGGCGGCTGCAGAGGGGCTAGGGGGGATGGGGTGGGAAGGGTCAGGAAGGGGAGGCAGAGAGGAGCGGCTGAGGGCGAGAGGCTGGGCAGCAGCAGCCTCTCTGCCTAACCCCAATCCCTCCGCTGCCACCGCACCACGGCCATCCTGCGTCTTCAATTCCAGTCCTGGCCCCACGGGAAACCACCGGCTGGTCCAGCAGAGTAGCCTGGTGGGGGGACACAGCCTGCTGCACACGTCCTGGGGAAGGCCCCAGGCCACCTGTCCCCCCACCCTCCACCCCCCGTGACGCGCTCCCACCACTGGGATGTCAGTCACAGCCTGAGTGCGTCCTTGATCTCTCTCACCTGCTGCCTCTTCACCATCGCCTTAGCAACCTCGGGGAACATTTAACCTGCTCCAAATGTTGAAAAGGCCCCACTTTTGACAAATGTGCTTGCGGACCCAGTGGGCAGCCGCTGAACCTCACAAATTCATTCCTGAAGGTCTAGGGCAGCACTGCCCTGCAACAAACACAATGTGAGCCACATCTATAATGTTAAATTCTCTAGTTGTGGTTTTTGTTCATTTGTTTGTTTTTTAATGTTTTATTTCTGAGAGAGAGAGAGAGAGAGACAGCATGAGCAGGGGAGGGTCAGAGAGAGAGGGAGATATAGAATCTGAAACAGGCTCCAGGCTCTGAGCTGGCTGTCAGCACAGAGCCTGACGCGGGGCTCGAACCCACGAACCGTGAGACCATGACCTGAGCCGAAGTCAGATGCTTAACCCACTGAGCCACCCGGGCGCCCCAAGAGGCTGTGTTTTTTAAAAGTCAAAAGTGGGGCATCAGGCTGGCTCTGTCCATGGAACGTGTGACTCTTGACCTCTGGGTCTATTCAGGCCCCATGTCAGGTGTGGAAATTACTTAATAAAATCTTTAAATAATACATACATACATACATACATACATACATATATAGGGGCACCTGGGTGGCTCATTGGTTAAGCGTCCAACTTCAGCTCAGGTCATGATCTCGCAGTTCAGTGAGTTTGAGCCCTGCATTGGGCGCTGTGCTGACAGCTCGGAGCCTGGAGCTGCTTCAGATTCTGTGTCTCTCTTTCTCAGTCCCTCCCCTGCTCGTGCTCTGTCTCTCTCTCTGCCAAAAATAAACATTAAAAAAAGTTTTTAAATAAATAAAAGTCAAAAGAAACAGGTGATTTTAATGACAAAGTTTTAAGTAATCTTCACGCCCATCACAAGGCTTGAAGTCACAACCCTGAGATCAAGACCTGAGCTGAGATCAAGAGTCAGACACTTAACCCACTGAGCCACCTGGGTGCCCCTTAATAAAATATTTTTTAACCCATTATGCCCAAAATATTGTCATTTCAACATATAATCAATGTAAGACATTATTAATGAGTGATTTCATGTTCCTTTTTTGTACTTAATCTCTGAAATCTGCTGTGTGCTTTATACTTACAACACACCTCAGTACTGGCCAGGCTCCTTTCAAGTCTCTGAAGCCACAGGTGGCTGGTGGCTCCCACATGCGGACACAGCACCGTGCTGGCAGTTGGGGTCTCATCCTAATGCTGGGGTCAGCACCTTCTCCTCCCTCCCTCCCCATCAGCACCTTCTCTCCCCCTCCCCCCCCTAGGGTCAATGCCTTCTCCTCCCTCCCCCCCATCAACACCTTCTCTCCCCCTCCCCCCCTAGGGTCAGCACCTTCTCCTGCTCCTTCCCCATCAACACCTTATGCCCCCCTCCCAGCCCTGGGATCAGCACCTTCTCCCCCCCTCCCCCAGCCCTGGGATTGGCACCTTCTCCGCCTCCCCCCACCCCTGGGATCAGCACCTTTTCCCCCTCCCCTACACCCCGGGTCTCAGAACGAAGACAAGGACCCCGGGCTCTGAAATACTATGCCCAAGCTTCCTCTCTGAGCCTATAGGATGAGGATGAGGAGCCCTGCTGTTTGTGGGGACAGGCCAATCGTGACGGTTCCTGGTCCCCAAAACAGAGACGCTCAGAACCTCTTAGAAGCAGCCAGCAGCGGAGCCACTGTCTCCGTGAAGCTGGTTGCCAACATCGGAGCCAACCTGATCGCCTTCCTGGCGTTGCTGGCCTTCATCAACGCGGCCCTGTCCTGGCTGGGAGCCCTGGTGGGCGTCCCGCAGCTCAGTTTCGAGGTACAGCTGGGCCCCCCACTTGGCCTGCGAGGGGCACCCTGGGGGCGGTGGGGGGGGTGGCGGTGGGTGGACACCCAACAGAGCCCAGGCCCGCGCGGGTCCCCACAGCCGCCCTTGCCCTGTGCCTCAGCTCATCTGCTCCTACATCCTGCGGCCTGTGGCCTTCTTACTGGGCGTGGCCCGGGAGGACTGCCCGGTGGTGGCGGAGCTGCTGGGCATCAAGCTCTTCCTGAACGAGTTCGTGGCCTATCAGGGGCTCTCCCAGTACAAGCAGCGCCGCCTGGCCGGAGCTGAGGAGTGGGTCGGCTCCAAGAAGCAGTGGATCTCCGTGAGTGTCCTGGTCCCCTCCCGGAGGCCCCCTCCCCCTGTAGACGCGCCACCATCCTGTGTGGCTTCGGGACAGCCACTGCGCCTTGGAAAATGGTGTCATTTTTGCTGCGGCTGCCCTCACAGGGACACACGTCCGCCTCCAGCGAGCAGAGGGAGCGAGCCGAGAGGCCCCACTACGTTCACTGCCATTATATTGGATTCAGCTCGGGGGCGGGCTTGTTCTATGACTAAAAGGTTCTATAAGATGAAACTTTCTAAACAAATAAAAGCTCTGTGTAGCATCATTGAGAATAAAACAATTACCTGTCACCTCACCATCCTAAAATAACAGCTAGTGTTGTTTCTGCATTCTCTTCTTTTTTAAGAGAGAATTTACACTGTTGTCATTATATATATATATTTTTTTCCTGTTTTTTTTTTTAATTTTTTTTTAATGTTTTTTATTTATTTCTAGGAGAGAGAGAGAGAGAGAGACACACAGCGTGAGCAGGGGAGGGTCAGAGAGAGAGGGAGTCACAGACTGAAACAGGCTCCAGGCTCCGAGCTGGCAGTCAGCGCAGAGCCCGACGCGGGGCTCGAACCCACGAACCGCGAGATCATGACCTGAGCGAAAGTCGGACCCTCAACCGACTAAGCCACCCGGGCGCCCCTTTTTTTTTTTTCCTGTTTTTATAGAGAAGGCGCAAGTGAGCTAGCGGCAGAGAGAAAGGGAAAATCCCATGAGGGGCAGAGGGAGAGACGTGGGGCTCACCTGGGGCTCTTGTTTACCCAAAATGGGGCTCAAGCTCACCCAACGTGGGACTTGAACTCCTGAACTGTGAGCTCATGACCTGAGCCGAAGTCAGATGCTTCACCCCTGAGCCACCCGGGCGCCTAACGCAGTTGCTATTATAGCATCCACCCTGGATGGTAGCCAGCTTGGCCCACCTTCTCTTCTGACAGAGATATCATTAGTGTCGCATGCATGTGATATATTTCACCAGGCCCCAGCTGTGGGGCCCTTCGGGTTAATTGCACTGTTCGGCTCTCTTACATGGCACCGAAAGGAATAGCTGTGTGCACAGAGCTGCTCCCTCCCCCCCAGATGTGGGATGGCTGAATCACAGGGACGCAACCCTCCCGCGCCGCGGTGCCTGCTGCCAGTAACTTCCCCAAAGGGTGGGGGCACCTGAAATCGCCCCCAGTCGTGCTGTGAGCACTGAGTTCACAGCTCGCTAAAAGCTAAAAGCACCGAGCTGCCTCTCTGGAAAAAAAAAAAAAAGTTGTGCTACTTTAACAATAGGGCAAATGACAGCTCATTGTTTTAATTTGCATTTCTTGGGTTACCAGAACTTTCAACACAAAACATTTTCTTCTTGTCTTTAAAATTATGTTTTAAACTGTAAGGGAATGTAGCCTCTAGTTTAAAAACAAAGTCTGTGTGAGATCAAAAGTACAGATTTCCTCTCGGCCCTGTCCTGTCTCCATCTCACCTCTAGAGGTAAAGGATGGGATGCTCCTTGAGGATCTTTTTTATGAACTTCTTTCCTTTAGCAAGCGTTTGTTGAGACCTCTCGGGCGCCAAGCACTCTGCTGGGCACCAGAAATCAGAAGGGGGGTCAGACAGACCTAGTCCCCGGGGTCATGGGACTTACATCTAGTGAAAAGAACAAGAAAGCAAAGGAATAAAAAGTAAAATAACCACAATTTGTGTTAAGGTCTATGAAGGAAACAAAAAGGGGAAACTGAGGGGGTCTTTCTTGGCTGGTCAGAAAAGACCCTCCCGAGGTGTGGCATTTAGGCCAAGACTTGGAGGGCAGAGAAGGGGCCAGGTGAGGCTGGGAAGAGTATTCCAGGCAAAGAAAAGGCATGTGCAAAGGCCCTGAGGTTGAAAAGCACTTGTCTGGAAAACCGAAAGGAGAGAGGCTTAGAGCAGGTAGAAATCCTAGAAGAGACTAGCACAGGCTGAGGAGCCATAGAAAGTTCCTGACGATTTGACATTTGACAATTTAAGATTACACAGGCTGCTGGATAGATGGTGATTGTAGGTGAGCGAGCAGGATGCAGGAGCCTTAATATTTTTCCATCAATTTGTATAAATTATGTTATAAAGACATTAACCTTTTTCTAATGTATTTTATACACATATTTTTCCTTGTCTTTTCTCCCCCTTTTTCTTATATTCAGGGATTTTTCTTTTTAACAAATTTTACACCAAATCTTTTCCTTTGTGATTTCTTCTATTACTTCTAAACTTAGAAAGGTATCTCCATTTCAGAAATCTGGTGTTAAATTCCTGACCAATATGGTGAAATATTAAAAAGCAGGAGTTTTGCAGTCAGACTGCAATCCCAGTTCTGGCACAGCCACTTTCATGCTGTGTGAACTTCCTCAGTTACTTAACCTCTCTGAGCCTCAGTTTTGCTCCTTTCCAAAGTGAGCGTTATAACGTTACCTTGTAAGTAGAATTCTTATCTTCCTCTATTTTCTGTTATTTGATGTTTATTATTTATGTATTTATTTAAAATTTTTAATGTTTATTTTTGAGAGAGAGACAGAGTGTGAGCAGGGAAGGAGCAAAGAGAGGGAGACTCAGAATCTAAAGCACCTTCCAGGCTCTGAGCTGTCAGCACAGAGCCCGACATGGGGCTCGAACTCACAGACCACAAGATCATGACCTGAGCTGAAGTTGGATGCTTAACCGACTGAGCCACTGAGGCGCCTGTATTATGTGATGTTTAAAATATCAGTACTGGGGGCGCCTGGGTGGCTTAGTCGGTTAAGCGTCCGACTTTCGCTTGGGTCATGATCTCGCGGTTCGTGGGTTCGAGCCCCGCGTCGGGCTCTGTGCTGACTGCCAGCTCAGAGCCTGGAGCCTGTTTCAGTCTGTGTCTCCCTCTCTCTCTGACCCTCCCCTGCTCACGCTATCTCTCTCTCTCTCCTAGAAATAAATAAAACATTAAAAAAAAAAATTTAAAATATCAGTACTGATCTGCTTCAATGCTCCAGAAATGAATTTTTAAATACGGCAGGAGGTGTGGCGTAAGCCAATTGTTTAAATTCCACATTCTTCCATTTGGCTCTTAACACCTCTTTCTGGGAAATTAACTGTTCACGTAGGAAGGGACGAAGAATTACTTTGCTTACGTGCCTAGTGTCTGCCTGCTGCTTCCCACGCACTGTGCGACCCCCGCGACAGCCTTCCAGGCAGGTGCTGTGATTCCCACACTCCAGATGGAGACACAAAAACTGAAAGCGGCTGCTGACGTGCTTAATCTGGTCATAGGTGGGGACAAGCTCGGAGCCCCGTTGGCCGGGCTCCCAGGTCCTCACCATCTTCAGTAGCCGTGCTCCGTGGTTTCTGGGCCTGAGAGCCCAAGTCAAGTCTGCAGTGTCGTGAAGGGCCGGTCACCCAATGCCCCCAGGGCACGGAGCTCAGTGTGGCCAAAGCAGAGGGCAGGGGAGCCCGCGCCGTACCAGGAAAGGCTGGCTCAGTCTGTCAGCAACCTCCTTGGGCTCAGGTCATGATCTCACAGTTACGGGTTTGAGCCCCGCGTCGGGCTCTCACTTGTCAGCACAGTGCCCGATTTGGATCCCCTCTCTCCCCCTCTCTCTGCCCCTGCTCTGCACACAGCCTATCTCTTAAAACTAACTAAACATTCAAAAAAAGAAATGAATGAAGAGAAGGGACCTGAGGTGACAGAACGGGGGCTGTTTCTCCGATGGTGCAGCCTGAATGGACATAGAGGCCGTGTGTGAGGCCCGGGAGGGGCGGCAAAGGCCAAAGACACACGGGATGTGGGTGAAGCGAGGGCCAGGGAGCCAGGGTGGTGTGGGGGTGCCCCTCCCCAGCCAAGGGACCCCCCCACACACTCACCCTCCGCATTTTCAGGTCAGAGCAGAAATCCTCACGACGTTCGCCCTCTGTGGATTTGCCAACTTCAGTTCCATTGGGATCATGCTGGGAGGCCTGAGTGAGTGCCGGGCCCCGCGGCTGGGGGCCTGGCCCCGACACAGCTTCCTGGGGGTCTTTGGGGCCCCAAATCAGGCCAAGGAGGGTTCCCAAGCTCAGTGGGCAGTTAAGAGGGCGACATCCATCCCTCTGGCTGCCCAGAATGGGGAGGGGGCATATGGTTTCCTGGCCTTAAGCACCCCTGTGCCCTTGCAGCGTCCATGGCCCCCCAGCGGAAGGGCGACTTCTCCCAGACAGTGCTCCGGGCGCTCTGCACGGGCACCTGCGTGTCCCTGGTGAATGCCTGCGTGGCTGGTGAGTGCGGGCCTGGCAGAGCCCTGATTTTCTAGCCGGCCCCCAGCCAGGGTCGGACACAGGCCCTCAGGAAGTCCCTGGGGTGGGGGGCGGGGGGGGGCCACAGGCCCTGCCCAGCAGCTGCTTTCCCTGCGCAGGGATCCTGTATGTGCCCAGGGGGGCCGAAGTTGACTGCACGACCCTCTTGAACGCAACCCTCAGCAGCGGCAGCTTTGAGGCGCTCCAGTGCTGCCGCAGCGCCTTCCAGAGGTGAGGCCTGGGCCGCGGGGCAGGGGCCCTGCAGTGATGGGGTGTAGAAGGCCCGGGTGCCTTAGGGGTGCCTTTGGCACTGCGGTGAGGGGTAGAAATGTTATGGCTGTGGCTGATGCAGCAGGGGAGGCAGAGGTGGGGCTGGAAGAACAAACTCGGGGAGGGAAGGGGGACCAGGGGCACTGAGTAACTTCCCCAGGGCTGCACAGCCTTTAGGGGCCAGCAGAGCCGGGCCTGGAGCCCAGAGTGAGGCCTTTGCTTCTTTTCAGCACCCGCGCAGAAGTCAGCCCCAGGGCCCTGGACACCTGCTGCCGACTCTACAACCGCACGATGTGTGCGTAGCGGGGCCAGCACGTCTTCGGCCCTCGAAGGGCCGTCCTTCCCCATGAAGCACCTGCCCCCGGGCCTCTCCTGGAGGAGAGGAGTCACAGTTGGAAGGGAGTGATGGGGCGAGGGGGCGGAGACTGGATGGTGTGGAGGTGAAGGATGCCCCCCAGGCCTTGCCCCCTTCCTGCCCCCTCCCGAAGTGTGGATTCTTGGGGTCACCTCTGCCTCCTCTTCTCTCCCCTCCACATCCAAGCAGCACCCTGGTCTCCGTCTCCCCACCTGGCGTCTCTCACCTGCTTCTGTTACGGGGTCCCTCCCCTGGGGCTTTGCAGCCCCCTTCCTCTTCCTCCCCTGGGTGGTGAATCTTGCCTCTGCAGACAGGTTCTCCTGGGAACCCCTGCCTCGACTTTCAAACACACCCCACTGCCATTGCCAAGAGCACTTCCCAAATGGGTGGCCCGTGGAACACAGCCCACAGGGTGTTCAGGAGATGCCTGGATCCACCAGGCGTGGAAAACAAGGGGCTGAATAAAGTCAGGCAGGTTTAATTATGCGTTTGTTTCTGTTTTACTGTGGACTCGTCAAAGCTTGATATAGACATGATAGGAGATGTTTTCCAAATTTATTTGACTATAAGAACCTTTCTTTTTATAAGAAAAAGTATTAATTTTGGGGAGAGCACAAGTGGGGGAGGAGCAGAGAGAGAGGGACAGAGGACCCAAAGTGGGCTCTGCTCTGACAAGCTGACACCAGCGAGCCCGATATGGGGCTCGAACTCACAAACCATGAGATCATGACCTGAGCCGAAATCGAATGCTCAACCAACTAAGCCACCCAGGTGCCCCAACCATGAGAACCTTTCTGATGGGAGCATCTCTTAGTTGAGGACCCCATGGAACTCAATTTGGGAAATATTGGTAATATAAACTGCTTTACGTAATTGTAATACAACTGTTTACATAATGCTACATTTCCCAGTGCTCCGTACAGTCTAACTCAGCCTTTTTTTTTTTTTAAACGTTTTATTTATTTTTGAGAAAGAGAATGAGGGCGCGACCAGGGGAGGGGCAGAGAGAGGAGGACAGAAGATCCAAAGCAGGCTTCGTGCTGACAGCAGTGAGCCCCATGCGGGGCTCAAATTCAGGAACCATGAGACCATGACCTTAGCTGAAGTCAGACGCTTAACCAGCTGAGCCACCCGGGTGCCCCCTAACTCAGCCTTTACAACAACCTTATGAAGTCAGGTACTGTTATTATCTGTGGTGGAGGAATCAGAGGCCCAGAGAAGCTAAGTAACTTGCCCAAAGTGACACAGCTAAGACGAGGCAGAGGCAAGATTTGAACCCAGGCCGTCCAGCTTCACAAGCTGTGTTTAATCCCCCGGCTAGGTTGCTAACAATGAAGGCACTCGTTTGGGTGACTTGTCCTTCCTCCTCCCAGGCCAATCCTGCTGTTCCGGTGGGTCAGGGTTCTGATGTGTTTTCCACGCCTCTGAGCCTTCGTTTCCGGAGTATCCACCACCCAGCACGCCCTGCCCGTCTCTCTTTGGCCTTTGCTGCTCCTGCCTCACTTCCCACTTTCCCAGCCGCTGTGGCTGAGTGACCTGCGATGCCCCTGTCCCCGTGGCCGCTGGGCCACCGTTCTCTCACTCACCTCTGGCAGATCCAGCTTCCCAGCTGGAGTCAGCGCTGGCCGGACGCAGAGAGAACGGGAGCCAGGGAGCAGTCGCTCTGCTCTGTCATGGGAGTCTGGTTCCACTGGGCACTGGCCTTGGTCCTTGGGGCCCCCGCAGGCTGCCCTCGGGCCTGAGTCCTTCCCCTTACTTCTGCAGACTAGAGTCTTGGCTCCACCCCGCACCCCAGCTAGGCCCTTGCCTTGCTCTCTGCAGCCCCGATCCCTGCCCCCGCTCCCCCTGAGCTGTCACAGGCCACCCTCCCACGTGAGCCAAACCATTTCCCCGTTCAGACCCCAGCCCCTTCCCTGCCTCTTTGTGAGGTCATGGAGCTGCCTGAGGGCCCCCCACCCCGCCCTCCTTCCTTGGACTCCCTGCACACTTGTCCCTGGCCACGGGGCTCCCTGTGCTTCTGTCTCTCCCCTGGGATTCAGCACAAGGCTGGGCCCACGAAAGGCCACGAGGGAATGCAGGTGAAAGAACTGCCACTTCTCTCAGAGCCACCAGTGCCTGCGTGTGCACTCACCCTAAGGACACATGCACATGTATTCACACGTGCTCTCAGCACTGCTCTGATCAGTGCACAGAATTAAGGTCTCCTGAGTCATCAGACCTTCCCTCCACCCCCTGTGCTCCTTCCTCCTCACTGGGCACCTGCAGAAGCTGGGAGCCCTTTGAGGGTGGGACTGCGCGTATATTCTACCCGGAGAAGGCAGCGATGCTGGGACCAGATGCCTGTGCTTAACTGCATCCCAGGCAGCAGCTCTAAGTCAAGATCTGCACAGGAGCCCTAACTTGCGCTTTCCACACCAGGACAGACCTCGCTAATCAACCAGCACTCCTCCTTCCACACCAGGACAGACATCGCTAATCAACCACAGCACTCCTCCTTCCACAGCCAGGACAGACATTGCTAATCAACCACACACTCCTCCTTCCACAGCCAGGACAGACATTGCTAGTCAATCACAGCACTCTCCACACTGAACCCGGAAGGGGTTTCAGAACCCGCATCAGTGTGGTGCTGAATGAGCCCACTGAGACTCGTGTTGCCTTTTCAGGAGAGAACTATTTGCTGCCCCTGTGCTAAGAAATAGACCCTAAGAACCCAAACCGGCATTAATTTGGTTTTTGTAAAAGACTCTAGAAATTAAGGGCTTTGGAGCAGAGAGGCATCCTTGCAAAGAAAGAGGCCTGTGTCTGCAATCTGTGTGCTCCGGGATTATGCACTGCTCATTTATTCGGGCAAGGAATATACGCTGAGTGCATCAGTCAGCTCAGGCTGCCGTAACAAAATGGCAAAGTCTGGGTGGCTTAAACAACACATTTATTTTGTCATAGATTTAGAAGCTGGAAGCCAAGACCAGGTGCCAACACACTCGGTTTCTGGTGATGTCTCTCTTGCTAGCTTGCAGATGGCCACCCTCTCTGTGTTGTCACGTGGCAGACAGAGAGACAGAGAGAGACAGCAAGCTCTCTGGTGTTTCTTCCCTCATGACCTCATCCAGCCCTACGTACATCCCCAAGGCCCCATCTCCAAATACCATTGCATTGGAGGGTAGGGCTTCCACATCAATTGGGGGCAGAAGCAATTCAGTCCATAACACCTGCTATGTGCCAGGGTCTGAGATAGACAAGGGAGCAGCAGTAAACCAGACTCTGATATGCTACAGAACTGGAATCTGCCTTCGAGAAGAAGGTTGGCTGGGAAGGAAGACTCACCAGAGACAGGAGGTGGCCTGGAGAGGAGGGAAGGGGAAACGGTCTCCGGCAGAATTCTCGGCGTCCATTGGTGGCCTGGCCAATGGCGTTGTTCGAGGCTCTCAGTGCATCGGAAAGTGAAAATAATGCCAGAACAGGGTTATACAAATTATGATTTATACTGTCATATATTTTCACACAGAACACATTGTAATATTGGGTTACCCACAAGATGATGACAGGGTTTATTTTCAGCTAAAGCCCAACTGAATAATTTAAAAAGCCATTTTTATTAATATCAAAAAGGTCACTGTGATTGCATGTTTTTATACATTAGGTTTCTTTTTATTAATATACATTAGGTTTCTTGAAATATGTAGATTCTGTGCTCTTCTTTTTTTTTAATTTTTCTTTTTAAATTTTATTTATTTATTTTTAGAGAGAGAGACAGACAGACAGACAGCACAAGTGAGGGAGGGGCAGGGAGAGGAGGAGGAGAGGATCCCAAGCAGGATCCTCTGAGCTGTCAGCACAGAGCCTGATGCAGGGCTCGAACCCACAAACTGTAAGATCGTGACCTGAGTTGAAGACAAACGCTTAACTGACTAAGCCACCTAAGCGCCCTGGATTCTGTGCTCCTCTGTATTCAGTCAACATTTAAGTCAACATTTAGGATATATATTATTTTAAATTAAGTCCTGGTGGGGTGGTCTGCTAATGAACTTTCTGCAGCCAACATGACTACATGAAGGACCTAATTTGGAGATGTCCATGGAGGTCTACATTGGAACCCCATCATGGATGGGAGGCTCCCGTCCCCCGCACCGCTGCCCCCTGCGTGTACCTGACTAGCCACCAGCAAAAGGAATTGAATGGGCTTCACTCACGGAAAAGCCTGAGGCCCAGAGCGTGGTGAGAGCAGACCGCTCCCAAACGGGACCAGCGTGGCAGTCCATGGAGCTGACACAGGCCGGGAGCATTGGGGAGGGGGGCACAGAGGGACTGTCTGGCCTGGGATTTGGGGGCCAGGGGGAGCAGCCACACCATGAGGCCCAGACAGTGGCCCAGTAGTGGGCCCAGCCCTCTGTCTCATGTCTAGGGAGCTGGGTGAGGAGAAGGGAGTAGCCGAAGCACCAGAAACCCACCCGAGGCACACACACAGTGTGGCCCATGGTCTGTGCTGGAGACCAAACCCCCCAGTCCGCCCTGGACTAAATCCTGCGTAAAAGACAATAAAAGTTAACAGTAATAAAGGCATATGACATACAAGCCCAGCTCTTTACTGTTAGCTTCAATGAGCATACAATTACTCTGTCAAATTGCTATGTAGGTTCTGAATGTCACTTTGAGTATCTATTACATGATTACAGACCTATAAACAGACGTGGGCCATACCAGGCCGTGCTTTAAATGGCATTGACCTATAGTAGTTCCTGTTAATGAAAACTTGTCTGAGAATTGTCTCCCTGGATGATGTGTCCTGATGTCACTTCCGTAAGGAAATGTGGGAAAAGGCTCTGGGACCCTGTCTGGTTGGAAGCCAGGATCCCTGCCTTTCGGATGAGAGAATGCACGCAAAATAGCACAGAGAGTAGAAGGATGCCAAATAATGTATGCAAATCCTGCCCCCTGGGGGCACAGCCTCCTACCCTTTAAGTGTGGGCTGTGCTTAGTGACTTGCTTACAAAGAGTGCAGAGTGGAAATAGAATAAGAAACAAACTTTGCTGTAGAGGGGGCACCTGGGTGGCTCAGTAGGTTAAGCGTGTGCCTTGGGCTCAGGTCATGATCTCATGGTTTGTGGGTTCAAGCTCTGTGTTGGGCTCTGTGCTGACAGCTCGGAGCCTGGAGCCTGCTTCAGATTCTATGTCTCCCTCTCTCTGCCCCTCCCCTGCTCACACCCTGTCTTTCTCAGTCTCTCAAAAATAAATAAACGTTAAAAAAAATTTTTTTAATGCATTGACGTAAGTGCAAATTGACTTGTAATTCGCCCCGGGAGCAGCTCTGATCTAGACGATGTATTTCCCAGGAAGCAGCCCACCGAAGTCTGAGGCGACCATGGGCATTTCTTCCTCCTCCACCGCTTCTCCCCATGGCCTGCTGTCACCTCTCCTGTCCCCTCATTTCCGAGTCATGCCTCCAGCGGAAGATGAGTTAGTCCCGCC